TATTTTTATTGTGCTGCTTGTGATACATGTCGATCTAGTAGTCCTATTCTTCCATGAATAATAAATTACATATACATGCAGGATAAACCTTTATTTTATATAAAAAGTTCTCTTTCCCACGTTAAAAAAAGGATGGTCTGTTGCCCTGATTGACAGCAGCTAAGTTGAGTTGCTCCAAGTAAAACAATACAGCAGTACAGGCTCAGCAGGTTGAGCTACTCAGTGGCGTACTCAGTAAACTATTTTCAGGGACAAAGAATGAAGTAAACAGTACCAGTCAAATGTTTGGACACATCAGATTGAATTTACTTTTTTCATCTTAAAGGCATTTTAATGTGAATACATATGTATAATGCTTGAAAAAAGTCAATAGTAAATAGCAAAATTAATACCTTTCTATTAATGTATCTCCAAAACTAAAATAATTTTTAAAATAAGTTTAAACTACATAACTTATTTGTGGTCACTGCATAATTCCATGCATGCTGTATCATGTTTCTGAAATCTTTTACAGTTATTATAAAGTGTAAATGATAAAAAAAAAGAAAGTGCATATACTGCAACCAACAAGGTTTACAATGAAATTAACAGTAGCAGTAATTTTCCAGAAGCAGTGCACAATGGCAGGCTGTCACCAGGAGCTGCCAAGAGAAATGTTACTGAAGCTATCAGGAGGTACATTAACATGAAAGAGAAGAATGAAAAAAACAATAAGAACAAACATATCTACATACATATATATAAAAACAGACAGAATAACCTGAAGAACAGCAAGGCATTTGTTCCACAAGGAATTTTTAAATGAAATTAAAATACGTGATCATTTTCTGACATCACTATCACAGGGAGGGTTCAGAACGGATTAAACTCTTAGCCTCGTACAGCTATCCTGAAAGCACAAGCTCACTTTAATTACTCCAATTTCAGCTTAGCACTTTCTTCTTTAAACATACAAATATTGCTAATGATCATAGTAACACATCATTATTGCTTATTAGTGTTATCAATAGAGCTGTTTTCAGTTAAGCAATAGGGTTCTATTGTAAGGATAAAAAGTCAAGGATGAAAATACTTACTTTAATAGGGATGCTTGACTGAAATTGCAGCAATGCAGGTAAGTGTGCATATGATAGAACAGTTGAACAAGACTAGTGAAATGCCTCTGGCCATTACGTAATTTGATCAAGTGGTAAATTTAGCATGTATTCCATGTTATACACCAGAATCATAGGGACCTTCAAACAGTTTTGCCATACTCTAGGCCTAAAGCTGATGGTTGTGTTTGAATGCGTTCAGGTTATTTCTGTAAAGCTTACACATGATCTTTGCATTTTGCTGAAGCAACTTTCACCTGCTCATGCAATGATAAATTGTTAGGCTTTGCCACTCTGGAAAACATACTGGTGCCTGACTTTGTCATCACAAGTGATAAATAGCTCTTGTTAGTGTTAGAATCTTCTTTATTATTCTTCTGATTCTGCAGTCCTTCAAATCACCAGACTCTGTGGCCCATTTGCTCACTGTAAAACAAAAAAAACACACAAAGACAGCAGGCTAATGATCAGTTCACATCAATATGCAACCATATATCTACATTTAAAGCAACAGAAGCGACCAAATCTGTCCAATTACATTCATTCTAATGTTACTGTCCTAATACTTTTCAAGGAAAGGTTCAGTAAGAAAATCTAATTTATACACTTTACCCATTGCCCCTAATCTAGTCAAGCAGCCAAGATATGTTTGGTGTCCCAAGTTTGCTTCTTTAATTTTGCACTGGAGCAACGATACATAAAAATAGACAAAGTTCCAGACAAAATTCAAGATTTATGATAGGGCCTACCACTGTTTTAGCTATGCAACATTATCCCATTTTTTCAGATAAAAGTGAAGAAGTGAATGCAGTGTTAAAAAAGAACAAGTCTATTTGAGATTAGTTATCAGCAACTAATTGATTGAGGAATCCATTACTTGTTAGCAATACTAGCATTGTAGCTCCAGTGCAAAACAGCAAACTTCAGATACCAACAGCTTGAGTTTAAATGCCTTGTTGAAGTGTTCCAGGATTACAGCTAGGACAAACTAAACATATTGCCAACTGGACTTGAATCTATTATTTGCTTCATTGCTACATCATCTCAAAAGATGGTTAGCATCAACATCTAGCATTAACTATGCTAGAACAAAGTCAGTGACATTATACTCACAATTAGGATGATTCCCAGGCAGACTTCCAAGTCTGCACCTCAGCATGTCTTTCTCCTCTGTTTCCTCTGGTTGTATTTTATGCTCTCTTTTCTCAGGCCCCCATTTCTGCTGTTCTTCCCCTTTGGCCTGCATTTCTTCACATATGGGTAGGTGTTTCTTTAGGCACTTTGGCATGTGATGATTCTAGCTGTGGAGCATGATCTCCTTACAGTACAGTCTTGTGTTCAGAAACAACAGGCAGGCTGCCTATAAAAAGAAAAAAAAAAACAAATAACAAAACGGTCTGTTAATTTTGTGGATATGCAAAGTGTGCATTTAAATATCCTTTCAGCACAACCCATTATGTAACTTTGAATGGTTTGTAGCATTTGAAGGCACATCACATTTCTTTTCTTACATTTCTTGGCAAGAACAGTCATCACACTCCAGTCAGACTACAATCATGCCATGTTTATGATTAACTGTTTTGGGGTGTCTGGGGGGTCACAGAGTTGTTCAGAGTTAAGGGGAGTGTTCAGGTGGACTACTGTTGGGACACTCTCCCCCACTCTCTCTGCTCCATCTGCTGGAAACGCTGGGGCTGGCCTCCTGGGAGCAGGCGGTTTGCACTGGGGAGGTCCAGCAGGAACTGGATGGTGAACTTGATGTGTTGGATGAAGTGGGACGGCTCAGCATAAGGAGATGTGGACAGATACTGGTAGGACAGGATGGGGCGAGAGATGCGTATCAAGTAAAGGTTACGCTTTAAGTCAGATAAATCACATCAACCAATCAATTTACATCAACATAGAGCTCTGTTATTGCAGTGATGCTCTTCTCTAAAATTCTGCACAGTATGGGGACTTTCCTGCTATAACACTCAAAACTCAAAAACGCTAGCCAGTATGTGACAAGCAAACACAACTTTGAACTGTTGTACACACATAAAATCATATTTTGTCATTAAAACACTTAATGGTAGAAAATGTGTTTCGATGATGATAATTCTTAATGTTCCACACTGATTTTCAGATTTTGGGACACATTTACTTCAAATCAATGGGATCTAACTGCCCTCCATGTGGCCATGAGGGACAGAGATGCAATCTTAGTTACTGGTCTAAAATGCAGAGGTGTGGCTAAATAAGACTCCGCCCACATATTAAAACATTTTGTGTTTCATTAGTGACATAAAAATGACATGAGAGCATTTAAATTATTTTTTTTCATTTAAAATTAAACTAAGTTAAATTCAATTCATTAAAATTAAATCAATGTAAAAGAAATCCAGGACCCAGGACATACAGGACCCATCATGGTGTACATGCCCAATACCATTCAAATGTATTGTATAAACCAAGCAAAAAACATTATTTGTTTTTAAAAAATAGACTTAATCCTTTTACTAGTAAGCCACCATTTTTGTTGCTTTTCAACATTAGGGAGAGTGACATTATTAAAGAGAAAAACTTTTTTACTTACTTTCTCCACTGCAACCATATGACATTGTCACAGTGCGACAATCATGGCCTACTAGTAGAGGAATTTTGCCTATTTGCCATGTTTTTTATATGTCACATTTTAATAGTATTGGCTATGAACACTGTTATAAGGCATACAGGTCTTAACAGCCAGGGTTCCCTTTAAAAACAACCTTGAAAAAAATGCAAAAATGTATGTACAGTGCCTTGCAAAGGTACCTAATATTTTATACAAAACAATATGCTCTTGAAGTAAGTTTTAAATGTCAAAATTCATCATTTGTGAGCAGTTTAAAGATTAAAAACTGAAAACTTCTGCTTGCATAGATATTCAAGCTCTTAGACTAGTACTTGGGAGAAACACTTTTTGCTGCAATAACAGCTTTAGGTCTGGTGAGTGAGAGTTTTTTGTCCATTCTTCAGGTTGTTCGGGTTGGTTGAATGAAGCTTGTGGACAGCAATTTTTAAATAGTGCCCCAGATTCTCAACTGGATTGAACTCTAGACTTTAACTCATTGTTTTTGTGATGTCATGAGAACCAACTCATTTACATATTTGCCTATTTAGCATGTAGCAGTTTTGCCCCTCTTAATCATACTGAAGTTCTTTAAGGAGCGTTTCAGCCTGGACTGCTTTCTCAATGAGACACAATACAGGGCAGCCAATCAGAACAGAGCTCATTTACATATATCAGACTTAAATAAGTCTTAATAGGCACAAGCTTTAAATAGGCAAACATAAAAATAACAAGGTACATTGTTTAAAGGTCTTCTCACATTCCAGATGTGCATGGTGAAAATGTGAAGTGGTAATATAAGCTGACATATACCTCATCAAATTGAATCAATATATAAAATGTAGGGGGTGGCGCGGTGGGTAACACTGTTGCCTCACTACAAGAAGTTCTTCCCATGTCTGCATACATTTCCTCCAGGTGCTCCGGTTTCCTCCCACAGTCCAAAGACATGCAGCTGGACAAACTGGACACGCTAAATTGCCCCAGGTGTGAATGTGTGTGTGAATGTCTATGTCTGTGTGTCTGCCCTGTGATGGACTGGCAGCCTATCCAGGGTGTATCCTGCCCTCTGCGCCCGATGACTGCTGGGATAGGCTCCAACACCCCACCCCCCCGCCACCCCCCACACAGCACCCACGACCCACAAGGATAAGCGGTTTAGAAAATGTGTGTGTGTAGAATGTAATTGTACACATACTGAAAGGCTTGAACTGTAATCATTATTAACTTTATTTTTATCTTGTAGATGTTTAGATGTTTTCAGAAGACTTCCTACGAGATTTTGGAGTGTCTGTGGAAATTGGTGCCCGTTCAGTCAAAAGAGCATTTGTGAGGTCAGACGCTGACGTTGGACTTTTGGCCATATGGTGTATGTTGCATTCATCTAAATTTATTTGCATCCCTACATTTTTACATTTGCATGTATAGTAGAAGGTCAAGACTGCCTCATTACCTGTTAATTATTTTCCACCACTCAGTCATTTCATTTAGAATTAGAATGTAAGATGGTGTCCCACAGCTTATTTGAACCTTGAGTGAAAAGTGACCCCTAGAACCACAGATAAGAAAATCTTTTTTTACATGTTTTTTACAACAGTTTGCATAAAGGGAAAGTTTAATTTAAACTATATATGTTCAACATTTTCAGCACAAAGCATGACAAATAAAGAAAAAAAAAATAACAATACAGTACATCACATATAAAAAATAAAAAATCAGTGAAATAATATTAAAAGTAATACATTTACAACTGATGAAATAACAGAGATGGAAAGTGAGAGATAAGCACTGATATATTTATGCAAATGAAATGTAAATTTGACAAACTCTGCTTTGAGTTCTTCATTATAAACTATGATGGTGATGAAAATCGGATCACAGGCAAAGATTAATTATTGTGACAACGTTCAATTTTATCGATTTAGTCAACAAAGAATGTCTTAAAATCTCTTCCAGTCAATTCAACAACCTTGACCATGCGTCCATGTCTGCCAACTTGGAGATGAGCATAAACTGATCCACATCTCAATAATGCACTTCTGAAGGGACAGTTGGTCAGTCAGTGAGCTTGTATGGCATCTTTTTGTGTCATGACTACTGCCATTGTAAGTATTTCATGAAATGTATGCTCAATAGCCTCAGTGCTCTCCAAGGAAGAGCTCTTGTACTTGAATCTCTGGTTCCTTCATTCACTGTAAAAACAAACAAACAAACAAACAAACAATTACATTAATGAACCTAACTGCTTTTCAAAGATCTCAAAGACCTTATTGGAGATATACACGTATATATGCAACATACAGTACTGTGCAAACGTTAGAGACCATCTTTTTTTATTTAATGCATTCCAGTCAATACAGTCATTTTTTTTTTTTCTGTATCAGGAAAAAAAATAAGAATATGCATAAAAGAAAATTACACACAAGAGCCTCACAAGTTTAGTGGGCACAAAAAAGTACCAGGTTACCAGATTTCTGAAATGAAAACCAGGGATATTTCCAGTTTGGCGGTCAATATATGATTGAAATATCCAATGTTTTTATCTAGGAAATAAAAAAAGTGGAGACAGTTCCAGTGTCATGAATTTTGACCATGGTAACTGTTGTACTGTAATAAACTATGCTAAAGGCTGACTGATACAATTGGATACTAGCTAAGTAACTTTGTAAACCATGCCAGAAAATCATACAGCAACCTACCACGGTGAGTAAGGCTATGATAAACTATAGGAAAAACACCCCTGGCTGTGGTCCAATAGCCAGACCCTAAACACGCCCCTTGGCTAAATCCAGTTCTAGAGAGACAGAGAAGGCTGCTATCAACATATGCCACATGTCATATATGGATGGCTGAAAATTCAAGTCCCATAACTCCAGCAATATTCTCTAAAACTAAGCGTGCGAGTGGTAGAAGTGGTTAGTAGATAGCAGCAGCTGCCCTCCCTGTTGACCAAAACAAGTACAACACACTGTACGCAGACTAAACAGATCACCTCAAATTAATAAAAAAACATCAGGGCATCACTTAAACTAAGTTAGAAATGCGTTGTGTTATAATATTCAGATCATCTGTGCAGAAATGTTCTGCACAGGTATCATTGAATTTATACACGTGAATCCCCTGAACCTGAAAAAGTGCATTGTTGCCTTCAAGCCTTCATAACTTTGGAATGGTCTATTTTACAGACATCTTACATATATCACAGCACTCAGCAGACACTGTAAAAAGTGGCTCTTCAGATCTACCTAAAAAAAATAACTTCTTGTGGTAACAAGTAAATTAACTAGTTCTATTCAACCTAAATAAATACTTTGAATGGACGATTCTTTCAATCGATGTAGTTTTTTCAAGTTGAATAAAACTTGTTCAATTGCTTTTTACCACATGAAGTAATTTTTTTAGGTAGATCTGACGAGCAACTTTTTACAGTGGACCCTCCTCTGTTAACTTCCGCAGAGGTGTATCAGTAGTAGTAATCCAGTTTAAACAAATGATCCAAAATCCGTTCAGTATCCTGACATGAAATCTCTGTTTTGAGTCTCCATAAAAGTCACATACTGTGTTTAGGTCCAGCATGCTTTCCTTATGTCTCTGTAGCATGTGTAGCGAGTGATCAGAGCACTATGATCCTCAAAACACTCAGAAAAAATGAAAAAAAAAAACTTCTGATTACACCGTATTTAGACTAAAGAGGGTTACCATTCTTATGTCACAAAGACTCTAGTCTTACCATTTCTAAAAAAAGGTACTTGAGCTATTTTTAAAGTCTGTATAGGCAAAAATAAAAAGAAAAGGCACTAAATAATTTTTTTTTTTAAAAATGGCCAAATTTATTAAGATAGCAAAATTATGCCAGCATTCCCTTGTCAAAATCTATGAGTTAATGTAAGCTAACATTCAGCAAGTTCATAGGCATCAGAACAACTACATTATTAAGTGAGAAATCTTTTTTCTCTCCTGTAATATCATGTTTGGCTTTAGTTTTGTCTGCACAGGTTATTTTCAATAACGTAGCCGAAACATTTTTGGACTATGAGTGCAGGTATATAAAAATAGCTTGATTACTCAAGTAGTTTTCCAAGAAATTACTTATTTACTCTTATTTGAGTAATTTACTTTATGCTCAAGTAAATACTCAAGTAAATGATCACTAAAGTAACAGTACTTTTACTTAAATAGGGATTTGCAGTATTTATCCGTTGCTGTTTCTCAGCTGCTGTTAGTTGTTTCCTTCCACCCTTGATAAATTGGTACTATACTTACTATATGGAGGAATCCCTTGAAGACTTCCACACCTGTGCATTAATACAGCTTTCTCCCCTGACTCTTCCTCAGACTGTTTCTTATTCCTCATCTCCTCTGTGTCCTCAATGTGTGGGGATTTGTTCTGCATCAAATCAAAGTAAATCTGCGGCAGGAAGAAATGACCACGGCCAAGCTGAATTTCACAGAATCTGTTCTGTTAAATGTTAAATTTTTAAATACCACACTGGCAGTCTTAATGGGTTCATTCACTTCCCTATAGCATATAAACTGGTGACATTTAAAAGATGGTCCATTGTGATATTCTGTAGAGAAGCTGATTGTAATATCTCATCTTTATAGCATTTAGCTCTGCTACAGAAAACAGAGAACTGTTTTCTTCTAGAGATCCAGTCCGTTGCTGTTTTTCAGCTGTTGTTAGTTGTTTCTAGTTGCTTTTTATTTTAGTTGTGTTGTCATAAATATTCACCCATTTTAATGTGATAATTTATGTCCACTTTTTGAAGAAGATGATGATCTTTGTTTCAAAAAATGTAAAAGAGTTTTCTGTCAAATTGTCAAAAAAGAACCAATAGCTTACATTAACTCCTTGATATGTCCTCCAACACCAGCGTTGCCAGGTTTGTATGCAAAACGATGTCAGAGCACATTCAGGAATGAGGGGTAATTTTTATGGGAGGAGTGTGTGTGTGTTTAAAACATAAAGATCACTACTAAGAAGTGTTTTTTTTCTGAGAATTGCTTTCAGTATTTACAATTCTGCAGGGTATTTTTCACACCTCCAAAATTCAGTCTTAGAAGTTGCGTTTTCAACTTCTTATTATTCAATAAATCAAAATCACATATTTAGAATTAACAGTCCATAAAATCTTACTCCACATCTCAGATGCCCAGATTTTGTTCTGTTGCAAATGTTATTTTTTTGTCTGTCTCCTTTTTTCAATACGAGCTTCTTGAACAGCTACACATCCTTTCAGACCCAGTTGTCTTCTCACAGTGGAAGGATGGACAGAAACACCTGTGGATGTTTTTAGATCTGAAGCAGCTTGATTTTCTCCTCTCTCTCAGTCCCATTTTCTCCTTCCTTATGCTATAGTATTTAATATACAACCTTCAATAATATATATAATCTCCTCCTATATAATATATATAAATTGACAACTTAATTGCTTTTTTGACTGGACTTTAAATAAATGAGGAAAGGAAAGAATTTTGTCTAAGAGTCTTACTTCATTAAATGTTTGCTTGCTTATTAGAGTTAAAATAAAGAGGGAGGGGTAGAAATGCTAACCAGATGGACATTATTTAGAGAAAGCAGCAAACAGCAGTACAACGTACGGGTACGATGAATAGATCACAGGTGAGTATTTTGGTAATGAGATGTGTTTACTTCGTTAGATGTTATTCTAGAAGGAATTTGGAATAGCACTATTCTGAATAGACACACTCAATGATGCGTTTACTTTTAATAAAATATGTGAATAAAGGATTCTATTTTTACTGTTGCAAACACTGATTCCCACTTGATTCATTTTTAAAGCTGCTTTACATACTTTTCAATATTTTTTTTATTTTCTCATGGAGTAACTTGTTCCTTTGTTATTGTGTGGTTTGTTTACAAGTAAACACAGACTGAGTTTTCATATAATATTTGTGTGTATTAACTCTGACTGGGTTTTTCCCCCATGTTATGCTTAAATACAAAACACTGGGAGTAAGAAAACAATATAACAAACAGCAGCACTAAATATGTGTTCCATGTAGTGTATACCTTGATACCGTCTTGGCCATGTAGTGTATACCTTGATGACTGTCTTGGCCTTCTCTCCAGCCTGGATCTGCTAGAGAGATTGTGTTTGTTATTTGATCTGTCTGTATAAGCAAAAGTAATGTGGAACTGAACGTTTTTGTAATTTTCATTCCCAGTGATATTGTCCTCTTTATTTAAAAGTTGGCAATTAGAACAAAAGCTCTGTGCATGACAGTCAAACACATGTCAAGAGAAAGTCTACAAGGCAGGTCCTGGTAAGAAAAGTGAAACTTTTCTCTCAAACACAGAATGGCAGTAACTGTAACAACAAGCTACAAATGAGAAATAATTAACATAAAATTACGACGTACTTTTGTTATCACCAACTTTTGAGGGAAAAGCAGAGAGTACAAGTCTTGTATTGGAAGCAAATCTACACAATAATGCAGAAAAGGTAAAAGGACAAATGCACATTTTGAAAGGCTTCAGCGAGGGCTAACTTTATGCATGAAATCTTCTTGTGGTGATCGCCAGATGCAGGGCCTTCCTCCTTTTTCCTGATTCTCATCTCTTCATGCTATAGATGAACCTGCCAGGACACATTTTGCTCTTTCTTCAGTCAGTATAATGCCCAGATGTGTCTGAGTGTATTTTCAGAGAGAATTACTAGCCCAGTCTTTCTTGATTGGTTTGGATGTTCTTCAAATCCTGAGATTCTCCTGTTTGTTTCCCCTTGTTTGTATTCCCACCTCAATCATTGTAAATGCAATTTATGCAAAAACAAAAAACATAGGGTCAACTGTAAATTACAATTAACATGTTTACCAAATCATTGCTCTTTTTTCACCTATCCATAACTATTATGCACCTTTTCCTTTCTTGATGACTCCAGTTACCCTGTTTAGGTTTATTTAATTAATCATTTAACAAATCATCATTTATTTAGATGTTTATTTTCAGCTGAAAATACGTGTTAAACCTACACTAAACCAAGTAGCGATTGATTGATTTTATCTCATTTACCTCTCTCTCTCTTTCTCTCTCTTTCTCTCTCTCTCTCTCTCTCTCTCTCTCTCTCTCTCTTTTCATCACCCTTTTGCATCTCTGTCCTCAGTGATAACTGAAAAAGCACACATTACACATACATTATAACAGGCTGTCTCTACAAGACCCCAGACAACAGGAAAGGCAGGTACTCATACAGTTAATGAGACAAAATACAGTCTAATGTCCCTGCTGATATCTTAATAATGTTAGCTACATGATGCTATACCATCAATATGCTGGTTAACAGTGAACTTTCTCATGCTGGCTATAGTGTGTTACGTGCTTCATTTGCTCATCTAATCACTAATATAGACTACTGTGGAGCCATTAGCCTAAAGCTGGGAAACCTGAGTAGCTACTGGAGCTATACTAAAACATGCTGATTTAGCCAGCAACATTACGAGCAATTAAAACAAAATTAAAATATAAGGTTTGCATTTTACAACATTAATTTGTTAATGGAGCTCATAAACTCATAGCTAGCTAAATATTTTGCCATAGCGATGTTATATGTTAGTTATATGTTAGCGTCCTCATAGCTAGTTACAGCCATGACAATGAATTAATCCAACCCCAGGCAAATCAGTATAAGTTGATCACTGTGTGTTTAAGCAGATCATCCAGGCCTGTTTCAAGATAACTAAACACAGTGTTGAGTTACAAGTACTATTCAGCTTTGCTGTGTTTAAAAGTCTCCCTGAATGTGCCATTTTAAACCATTATAAATTGGTTAGGCTGGAGAGAAATTTGCACTGTGGTCTCTCTTTTGACATAATTTATAATTTATAGTATCATTATCTCCCTCCACCCCCTCCCCATGCTATCCTCACACCACTTGCTGGGTATGTGTGTCTACAAGGCATGATGGGAGAAACTCTGCTAATAAAGACTGTCCTGAAGTGCTGTTTTCCCACCCCTATTCAGACAAGCCCTGCCTTCCTGTGCTCGGGTTGGATAGTCCACACTCACAAACTGTCAACCTATCTGAAATAGAGGTGGGGAAAAAAACACCAAGGGATGGGCGATAACAATAGTTTTCATTACAGTCCTTTACCAAATAATACCAATGCTAATATCTTGATACCGAAAGTCTTCTTGTGCACATTTAATAGGTCATTTTCTTTATCTACCTACATTTGAAAGCTTTTGAATTTGTATTAAATTAACTGCCTCATAAACTGCAGAAGCAAAACACATAAAGGGCAGATGCAAAAGTACTTCCTATCCTACACATTTATTTGCTATAGTATTGTTTTTTCACAGACTGATTAAAAATAATACTTGATCGATAAAATGTTTTCCTTAAAGTTCAAGGAAGGTCCATGATACTTCCCATTGATTAACCCCTTAAGATCCCAGGCCTGTTACATAGTAACGCTTATTATTCAGTAACTTCAAGGACTTCAATGCAAACAAGGTGAGCTATTCTTAGGTTACAGAAGTGTGTAATACAACTTAAATCTGGCCATTTAAGAGGTTAAGTGGATCATGGACTGGAAAACTGCAACATATAATTGAAACGATTGCATTATATTGTGTTTTATATTGCAGTAAATTCATGAATACACCTCTGCAACACCCCTCTGATCGAACCTTAATAATTGCCACATTACGCATCTAACAGGTTTTTTATTAATTTCCAATAGTGCCAAAAGTATATAAAACACAGAGAACAATACATTGTACAGGTCACACTGTTAACAAAATATAGCGTATTAGGCTACTTTTGTAGTGGGTACATTTGATAGCTTTCGTGTCACCTGAGGTAACAAAAACGTCCAACAATTCTATAAACAAACTGTAAAAAATTTTTTTCTGTTGAAAGTTACGCTTATGTAAACAATACATAAAATAATTGTAAAACAGAAATAGAATCTTTGTCAATCTTTGGAAGTCCTTCCAGAATACGATGGTATCGTTAAATTCCCAGAACAGCAAAGGATATAAATGTCAGGAACTTTTTTTTAGATACAAACCCTTCTTTAACTTTAATGTTATTGATAAAATTGTTAAGTTATGTGGTAGAGCCCACACCTTTCCCAGTCAACAATCTGAAAAGTACAGACAGAAACATACATGATCGAGAACTTTGGAAGAATATGTCTCTGCATAAGATCACGTCATCTGCACAATGAAGTACCTATTGTTGGTGTTGTTACATGGAGAAGTGGGGCATCAAATTCTTCAATAAAAGGAGTCAGAAGAAAAGAAAAAACCCAACCGGGCTGGAAAGCTCAGAGGAAGCAAGTGAGATCTAATTAGCTCCAACAATCTGTAGTTAGAGACAAACAATAGTACAATCAATACATCATAAACATTGTTAATTGGAAAAGTAACTAACAATTAGTTTCTGCATTTGGAGTGTCTAAAAAGCAGACTTCTGCAGATTCTAGTAGTCACAATGGTCATACTAGGACATTTCCACGATGGAAATGACCTAGCAGCATTATATTTTACTTAAGCCAAAGGGGAAGTGGGTCTTGCCCTTCTGCACATCCCTGCATAACTCCAGAAGTGTGAAAGGATAAACATAACCTTTCTAATATGCAGCTGGAAAAGCCTGTGTAATAAATATTAGCGGAAAGGCACATAGGCTCTTTGTAGGTCACTTTAAGTCTTGTGTTTTGTCTGTTGCAGAATATTTGAACTGTCTCTGGCCAGACTTGCAGCACCAATCAGCCACAAAGCGAGTGGAATTGTCACCACGATCCCAATGACAATTCCCATTCCTGACCACATGACTCCATATGCAGATCCAACCACTGATCCGACAAGAGCACCGATGGTAGCCAGTACTATCAGTGCTGCTGGTTTTAGGTAATGTCGTGCAAGTGCTTGTATCTCATCCCGATACTTGCTTTTAATTGCCACAATGTCCACTGGCTGGTCATCTTCATTCACTGCAAAAGGATAAAAGAAAGGGGTGGGGTTGATATGAAGTAAATATCATTATATGTATGAAACAAAGAGTGGCATTTTTAGTGAAGGCACTGATCTGACACTGATCTCACAAATCTCTAAAGGTGATGGTGTGCAGCACCACTTAGCCGAGCATCTAACCTAGCCTATTACTGTTATTTAGCTATTCAGATAAAGTATAAAAACGATAAAGTTTTAAAAAGAGCTATCAGATGTTTGCAAATACTGCCATATACTTGCCATAAACTCACATGTGTTTATGGGTGTATACATGAGAAGTGGACTGGGTTACGACTCAAAAGATTCGAGGACCACTGACTGAAGTGCTGTGAGAGCCATGGACTTATGTCTATAGAATTATACTCACTGCTCGGACGGTCCCCCTCGGCACTTCCACGTCGTTGCCTAAGTGCATTTTCCTCGGCCTGTTTTTTATATTCAGCAATTCTTGTCTGATACCCCCTTTTCAGCTGTTCTTCTCTGTCCTCATACATTTTTTTCACCTCTGTAATATTTTGTGGCGTGTTCTTCTATATGTAGTCATAGAAAATCTGTGGCAAGAAGAAATCACCACAGTTTCCTTCCACCATCTTCTGTATTTCCTTGAGGAGCTTAGGGATCTGGGCTTCAGAGCGGAGAACGTAGTGTCTGTTTTCACATTTGTCCAGTAGTTTGCTTGCATTCTGAATGTGCTCTTCGATTGTGGGATCCTCCACTTCCTCATCACATAGAAACAGCACCATAGTGTGTTTCCAGACCCTTTCAGACAGCAGCTCCATGTGCCGGCTTGCTGTTTTAAGTTGTTTTACAGAAGGCAGTTCAATAAGGCTTTCGACACGCAACACCAGAATCAGAGCATGGGGTCCTGGAGGGCAAAGGGTCACGCTTCTGACAATTTCATTTTTAATTTTCTCAGACGTATTATAAATAGCTCGAGGATTCCATCCAGGTGTGTCCACCAGACAGATCCTTCTTCCTGCAGCCTCTCCCTCACGTAAAATGCACGACCCTATCTCACCCTTAGGCCCCTTGCCACCCAACAGGAATCTGGCCACTTTGCTTTTTCCAGCTCCAACTCTGCCCAGCAGCACAATCCTGAGCTCTGAAACAGAAGATAATGAAGTCAAAAACATTAATATGTAATTGTAGTGGAACAAGCACATACTAATGTATCTTGACACATTTACATACTGATTCACTCAGATCATATTAAATTAATTCACAATGGAATCAACATGTCCAACCTTCGTCTGCTGTTGAGATTCTGTGTGCCGTGGTCATTTTGGTTGGCACTGGTTTTCCTTTATGAAGGGCTTATGACTTTCACTTTAAACTTCCCTCTGACATATTTTAATCTGAAAACTGTGAAAAGACAGTGTAAGTTCTATGAAAGCTAAACAAAACAAGTCATGATAAATGCAACCTGGACAGAAGAACAAAAAAAAGTCACAGTATTTAGCTTCAGTAGGAGATAAAACTGCTTAACTTGCATAGTACATAAACCTACGCAGCCTAAGAAGTGAAAACATTTTGCCCTCATAATGCTAAGCTTCAGACCACTTATATTAACAGCTATGAATAAGATCTGGCTACATTAATGTTACAGTTACAGTTACTGTTGTTGTTTGTTGGTTTCATTTTGTGTTGCGGGCTCAGTCATTATTTTAAATCACCTATTGTACAGTATTGTCTACATCCAGCTTTTTGTAAAAGATGATAAACCTTAGTTTAAAATGTTGGAAGGAAAAATGAAGGAAAAACATTTAGGAAAATGATTGTTGGCACAATAAGCAATGCTAGGAGCTACATTTCTGACATATACAACTTCTTTATTCCTTTTACAAACACAATACACTGTGACTCTATTTCTGAAGTAGTAAAAGTAGTAATCGAACTGCTTACTTTGCAAGATAGATCCTCCATTAGGTTTTTCCTTGTACTAGATTTCGCATTTAAAATGGCGTTGCTGAGTGCTCAGGTACAGCAGGTACTTCCAAAGAATTTAGTTTGTTATCAAAATGGGCGTGCACTTGGCACTCATATACCAGGAAGAATCGAATAAGGAACCATGACGTCCTGTCAGGTGATCTCAGTGCAGCATAAAGGTAACTATGGTTCACTCATTGTTTGTTAATCCAACCTCTCTACACGGGCTGAATTAGAGGAGCAGGAGTAAAAAAAATCTTCCAAAGTGGTTCCAATTTTCAAAATATATATTATATATATTATATATAATATACAATCAATATGAAATATATTAATACAATAAAATGTATTAATATGAATTGTGTAATAATAATGATGACATATTATAGGCCTATATGACCTATATCAACAAATTTATGATACCAACCCTCCAGGGCACAGATTGGCTAGTCCATACTCACAGGTAACCTGCCTGAATAATACTGCAATTGGATGGGCATTAACAATAATTATTCATTTCAGTCCTATATCAAATAAGTTATGTTTATACTCATTGTGCTGTAAACCACCTCATACCACAATACCTGCTCTCATGTAAAAAATCCAACATATCTGTCTTATATGCTATGAAAATATGCAAATAGATATATGTTTATTTGTACTCTCTCATACTTTACTCTTTATTTCTGCCTAATATATGTCCATTGTTGTTTCTATTTTTAATTTCTGCCTAATGTATGTAAGTTTATGTGCAGTTATATGTTATCTATCTGTCTGTCTAACTATCTATTGATCTGTCTATCAATCTGTCTGTCTATCTAACAACAACAACAACAACAACAACAACAGGTTATAAACATACAAATATCATGTTTATTTGTTAATTATAAAAGGGTCTACAAAACCCAGATAACAATATACTATACAGGTCACACAGGTTACAAAATATAGCATATCAAGGTACAAAAACCTTTGTAGTGGGTACAAACTAATATAGTTCCACTATCACTTCTTGAGGCAAGAAGAGTGTCCAAATAACTTTGTAGGTCAATTCTAAAAATGTCCTTTTTTCAGAAAGTTATACTTACGTATGAAAAAAAACCTTCCTAATAGAATAAGTAGGTTATTTATGAAACACGTTCAATCGGATATTCAATGGTGACTTTGGTTATGAAGGTATAGCTTTCAAAGAAGCATTACAATGTTGATCTTGCACCAAATATATTTGGCTGTTGTGCCTATTGAAATAGAGATAATGTGTGTATGGCTCTTTCCTTTCTGCACATTCTTGTATTGTTATATAACTCTCTCAGTGTAAGAGGATTATGGGTGGAAAGAGTACAGAATATTCCAACTTAAGTAAGATTACTGTTGCTGTACACAGTGCAAGTATCACTTATGGAAATTACTCAATAATTACTCAAGTAATGAGTTACTTTTTTGCATGTTTGCAATCATTATCTGAAAATATTTCTGAGTTGGCTTGGCTACATCCTCGGAATGCTTGTACAAAGAAAACTACAGCAAATTTGACTTTAGTGCTAAAGGAGAAAAGTGTACATTAGTCACATATCCTTCTGTGAAGTTTTGCTAATTTTATGAATAAATAATAATGAAACTGATTACATCAACTAAAAAATATAATTTACCTTCTTGATGAATCAATAATGATAATCAGGGTATTCTGATTATTCAAATTGCAGACTAAAGATTCTCCACAAGGGGGGGCTATTAGCATTCAAATCTCTTTTGTGTTCGGCCTTAAAAACAGAAAACCCCCATGTAAAGTAATAGACCCAGAATCAAATGAAACATACCTAAGCTAAGAAGTTGGCTTTGTTTAACGACTAGGTCTGGTCCAACTGGTGAAGCAGATATGCCCTAGCTAACAGGCTAACAGGCTCCTCCAATAATATTCCAAGTTAGACTAAGTTGCATTTTTTTAGGCATTTTCATTATTCATCAGGCATCATCTTTTTCAAGAGAGTATTTTGGAAATAGTTTGGTTATAGTTTGTCATTTTTAATGTTGTCTGGCATTTGGGAAAAATGAATAAAAAAAGAATCATCAAAATAACCAGAAGATTATTTGCTTCCAAATGTAACTGTCAATGATGGCCCTACCGCTCATTTGCTTACTTTTAATGCTGGCTTACTCTAACAAAGTTAGCTAACTAACAGGCACTCACAATAGAACATATAACAAACAGCTTTAAATTTAAAATAGTAAAATAAAAGTAAAAATGAAATTAAAAACAGACAAAAAAACATTTGTTAGAGTGAAAGCAAATGAGTTTTAACCTTTTTTTAAGCTGAAGAGACTGTGATGTTTTTTTATAGATGAGGTGAGGCTTTAATTGTTCACTCGCTCTTGAAAGCATCATGACATCAATATTTGGAATTGGCACCACAAATAACAGTCTCCATTACTATGTCCAGTGTTCCATGAAGATGACTTGCAAAACTGCCCCAGTGACTGACATTACAGTCACTGCTTCTGGTTTCAGGCAACACAGTAGCTGTCCTAGTAGCTTGTCCCAATTATTGTGGCCACAGTAACCTCCATACTCTCTGTCTCAGACATTTATGAATGCATAAACAAAGTGACAATGTGCAATATTTGTGGACAAATAAACAAAGTAGCAGTGCAATAGCAATATGAGTAGAGAGATGTAATGTAATGTCCAGCTGGTGCCCAGTAGGCCTGTCCTGTCAGTGGCTCAGTACACAGTAATGTCCCGGGACAGTGATGAGGTGTTGTACAGTGCAATCACTGTTGATATAAATGATCTCCTGTACCGTTCTTTGCTACAGCATAGCTAAATGAGTCTGTTGCTGAAGGTGCTCCTCTGTCTGACCAGTAGGCCATGGAGGGGGTGTGATGTATAACTTACCCCCAAGTGTAGAAAAAAAAACGAGAACTAATTACTGGAGGAGACAAAATCTAGTATAAAAGTACACTGCCCTTACTTATTTTCGTAATCATTTGTTTAACTTTGTGTACTACTACAAAATAACAAATAACAAAATCTATTTTGTATTTTAGTGCAAAATATTTTTAAAATACTTTTTTTTTTATTCATGTTTATGAATGCATAACATCATTCACCCAAATCCCGGTCTTCTTTTAAATGTATTTTTTAGTTTTTTAGTCTATTTCCTATTTTTTTTTTTTTCAGTGAGGCTTCTTGACAGCTACACATCCTTTCAGACCCATAGTTCTGAGTTGTCTTCTTACAGTGGAAGGATGGACACCTGTGGATGTTTTCAGATCTGAAGCAGCTTGATTTTCTCCTCTCTCTCAAAGATGAAAGCTTTATACTTTTCCGCACTTTTGTCCTGTAACAGCACTAATTTCTAATTAAATTTTCATTTTTTTTTTAACTTTATGTTTTTCTTCTCTTTTAATTCATTTGTTTTAATCATGTGTTTAATTTCTATTCTCCTACACCTTTTTAAACTTTAATTTGAATTATCTTTGTATTTTCTTATTTGTAAAGCACTTTGGATGACCAAAGTGTATGAAAGGTGCTATATAAATAAACTTGCCTTTCTTTTCCTTAAGTGGCCAGGGCCCACCGTCAGGTTCAAAGTTTTACTACACACTTCTATAACCTCAGAATAACTCTGGAATTTTAATGGGTTAATTAAATTTTTTGCTGCTCCATTAGAGGCTAAAGGGAATTGGCCAAGTTTTTTTAGTTACTGCAGCAGTATTATGTCAAGGGCAAATTGGATTTGTTGCTTTACCTTGCAAAGTGGTGTTGTCACATGAAACTAGGGCTGATTAAGGGTGATTAAGTGCCACTAGTGCTCCCTGCTTCTGTTTAGTCTACAGGATTCACAGCAAGGCAGGGTAAGATGGTGGTCCCACATGCAATGTGTAGAGTCAAGCTCAGAATTATTTAAATCAACTGTATGATTGCTTTCAGATACTGCTGTCGCTGCTGTTTGTTTATTTGTTTTTAGGAAAGCCAGGGCAGTGTGTGAAGAATGCTGAAATGGTGCTAAAATGGATGGGGGTGCTACCGGTTTCTTTAAAGTCCCCTTTCAACCTGACCTGACCTGATCTCAAGAAATGCTGACTGTGATACATGTGCTCTGCTACACGCAGACGTTGCTACACTGATTGCTAGCACACACTCAATCCTTTCCTCTTAATGGAGTGGGTAATGTCTCACCCTATAATTGGTATGTTGTAAACTGCTGTGTCACCAGTTTTAGGGAAATGTCTAAAGCACTGTGGGAATTTACACAGTACAACCAATTTTACAATCACATTTTATGGACAACAGTGTCATAAAATGGCACGTCTTCATAGCAGAAGCAATAACAGACTGTATCTATGCTTCGGGTCTATAGGCAAACTGCTGATTAGTAAATAATATTTGTTGTATCTCAGCTCTTTGGGACCATATTGGTTATGCGGATCCATGAAAGCACAGCCTTTAGTGAACTTCCAATGTTTGATTTATTTACTATTATGAGACTGAAATTAGTTAAAAATACCAACAAATATCATGCCATCTGGTTAGTTAGAAGTTTCCTTGCATGTCTCAAAGACATGTAAACTGTAATAATTAAGTATGTACTTGGCATATCGTACCACAAGGTTAGCTTGCGAATGATACTGCTAAAGCTTTAAAGCTCACATCCACTATGTTGCAGTCACACTGAATTATAATACAACAAAACAGGGTTGCGTTAAGATGGCACATGTGTGGTAATTGGGCCTGAATGTTGTTGCGACATCCTCGACCCAATGCAAGACCTCACTACCTACATTATATATCCAAAAATATCCAGAACCTCTCCAGTGAAATCAGTGAATTTAGCCACAGTAATAGGCACTTGATGCTGACACTAGTATTCCATTGCTCACACACTGCTTGCATAATCTCCATAGAACAGCATTGCTAATAGAATGAGATGCTCTGGAGCAACTGCATGTTAACCTTAGGTCACTATGCTCAATACCAAGCATCAGCTAGAGGGGTATAAAGCCCCCATAGCAAACACTGTTTGCTATCTGGTGTCGACCAGAGGAGGATGGGTTCCCCTTCTGAGTCTTGGTTCCTCTCAAGGTTTCTTCCTGTTGCTCTTAGGGAGTTTTTCCTTGCCACTGTCGCCACTAGCGACGCTCATGGGGGCTTGGACCCGGATTTTTCTGTAAAGCTGCTTTGTGGCAACAGCTGGTAAAAAGCGCTGTATAAATAAATTTTGCTTTGCTTTGCTTTGCTAGCATTGGGCTATTGAGCAGTGGAACTGTGTTCATTGGAGAGATGGAACTACATCCAATGCCTCTGGTATGAGTTGGAGTGGTGTTTATGCTTTAGAGCTGAACACAGTCAAATCCTCACAGCAATGTTCGAACATCTAGTGGGCCTTCCTGGTAGAGTAGAGGCTGTTACTGCAGCAAAGCAGGGACAAATTCTCTATCAGTACCTTTGATTTCAGAAGAAACACTGGATGAGCAGGTGCCTACAAACTTTCAGATACATAGTGTATATTAAAGACTAAGATGATCTGATTCTATTGATCTGATGAGGTGATTGCGTTCACTATCTCTATTCTTTTACGACTGTACGAAGGGTCTCGGGGGAGATGAATACAGGATAAAACTGTACTGTGTATAAAGCCCTATTCAGGTTAGTTTTGCATAAGGGGGTGGGGCAATGTGGTTTTACTGGCATTTCTCAGTGATTTTAGTCTCGTTTGAACGCAGCCATGTAAGTCATTTTTACTGACTGCACACTTTCGCATCAGTAAAGATTCCAGTGTCTTTTACCTTCTGCAAAACGAGCCACAAAAATAACCTCTGGTTCTTTAAATCCAGCAAATCGACATGTTGGTAAAATGCTATTGTATCCTGTGGAAAGGGAGTTTCTTAAGTATGGAGACGCTCGAAGAAGCGTTTACTTGCGTTCTCTGACAAGGCTGAAGTCAGATTTCTATTCGCCAGTTTTTTGTTCAAATTTTTTCCATTCCACCTTAACTGTTGCACCATTAAGGTGTAATGGGAAAATCTGAGCAAGAAGCTGGCAAATAGAAGCTGACGTTAGCGTCATTGTTCTTTGTGATTAAAATCAAGCCGACGTGTAATGTTATTGTCCTACCTCACAAAAGTACAGTAAGAAAGGGACGAGGTAGAAATTGCCTCAAAGTGGACCCCATTACTTGGAAGCAGGAACCAAACAACAGTAGAACATTTGGGTAAATTACATGTGGGTATTAATGAGACATCAAATGTTCTTCTGGAAGAATTTTGGAATGACTTACACTTTTCCGAATATGTTCTTAATTTTCACCATCAATGATGTTTTATGTTTACTCAAAATTATATGTAAATAAAGGACTCCTGCATATTCTGATTTATTTTTAAAACTGTTTACATACAGTGTCATAAGAGTGTCATAAGAAAAAGTTGTTTTCCAGTTATTGTGTGTGGTAAACACAGCCCAAGTCATATGATAGTGTTATAGACTCTGGGTTTTGCCCCCATGTTATGCTAAGATACAAAACACTGGGAGAAAGAAAGCAGCAAAACAGACAGTGGTGCTCAATATGTGTCCCATGTAGTCTGTATCTTGAAACTTTGACCTTTTGTTTGGTTTGAAAGACCTCCAGCCTGGACATGTTGATGAGAATCTGACTGCTATTCAATCTGGCTGTATAAATGGTGGTGAAGTGGATTTGACTGGTCTGTAATTTTCATTTTAAATTTCCCACTGATATTATCTTCATTTGAAAGCTGGCAAGTGAAACACAAGCTCCACACACAACAGTCAAACACAGCAGGTCAAAACAAATTCTACAATGCAAGTCCTGGTGAGTAAAGTAAAACCTTTCTCTAAAACACAAAACGGCAGTATCAGCAATGGGAATGAGGCAGAAGGCAGTTGTTGAGAGTCCAGGTTTATTATATAAAACAATACAAACTGCCGGGTAATGGTGGGAGGCAAAAGGAACAACAAAGCAGAGCTTAAATACAAAACTATGAAACACTGGAACAAAATTAGGAAATAAAGAGTGCAAGGCAGAAAGTTAACAAAACCAAACACTACCTGATAAACACAAGGTAAGGAAAACAAACACAAAAGATAACGTAGCATATAAAAAAGACCATACATATGTCTAGATACATGTATGCTTAGCTACATATATCTAGATGCCATTAATCCTGATTGGTCAATTTCTGCTCAGGATTCAGAAAGTGTAACCCTTTTGTTTCCATTCAGAACTTAGTTCTGTAAAATTTGCAGAGTTTAAATATAAGTATAATTCTATTAAAGATTAACTAAAAATTACAGACATATATGACTGAGAAATCATTAGGCCTTCTTTGAAGGCCTAGAAGGTCCTAAGGATTCCCCTCTGTCTGTGTCACAATCAGAATTTGAATATTTTATTTTTATAATGGTGAAGTGGTAAAAAAAATGGGCAATAGTTGAAAAAGCTGTTTTAGAAGTACCGATAATAAAGGCAGAATATAAAAAATTACTTAGATTATTCAGTAAATCATGCATGGCATTTTTGCTCAAGCATGCTTGTACAGAAAGCTAGGTACTTTTTATTCAGTTACATATTGTTTTACTTAGGTTTACTATTATAATTATTATTACTTTTTATTTACCCTATTATTTTATCCTACTATGTTGCACCTACATTGCTTGGCTGTCAGTCACATCTTTTCTTTCAATATTTGATGAAATTCTCCTCAGTAATCCTTACTATTATGTCCTCTTTTCTTGTATAAATGTACTATTTCATAGTAGAGATGGGGACCTAAAGCTCAGATTTGTGGCTTATCACTAGTTCATTGACTTGCCACTCTGGCTTAAAAGCTTACACTTGCAAGTCAAATCGACATACTATTCACAGACCTGAGACTCACATGATGTAGTCTGATTTACTGAAACGCACCCGAAAATGTGCACAAACGCTGGATTGTCGCTCACCATTAGCATCTACATAAGCCTTGGGTCTCAACTAGTGTTTATTTAAAAAAATATAAAAGCTGATTCTGAATATTGCCCTTATTGCATTCTGCAGATAAGTGACAAGCTCTATACATTTGGTTCTACACACATTGATTAATATTAATATCATAAAATTTAGAGAGTCTAAACTTAAAGACTTAAACCCTCCAACCACCCAAGCTAAACCTTAGCAATTACTTTTGACAGCATAGCACTGGCCTAGTATCACCTTAGCAACAACCAGGGGTACCATACCAACAGCCTAGCTACACCTTAGCAACTGCCTTCCATAACTTAAGCCCTGGGACCATAGCAATGGACTAGAAACACCTTAGCAACAATCTGGAATTCCATAGCAATGACTTTGTCAAGCCCACCCCAGTTTGTTCACTTTACCCCTCTAGTTTTAACAATAAACTCTACAATATCTTTCAACAGCTGTGTTATAGATACATGTAATACAAATCAGAATGTCTACAGTAGACATCACAATTTCTTAATAATCAAGACACAACATCAGACCAGCAACAACATCAGAAATCAGACTAATTTCTACCATTTAAAAATGATATAGAACATAAATGCAGGCTGTGCTTCACATTCCTTTCAAGCATGTGAAGGAAGCCTTTCTGGATAGCAGCAATGTGGGTGCAAACACATGCGCTTGCCACCTTTAAGCTTAGCCACTTGAGCTGCTCAAAGTGGAACGATGGAAGGGGAGCAGGACCATCTTCTCCATCCAGTGAGAGCCAACTGTTCTGTAATGGACATGAAAAGCACCAATCTGTACTAAGGCTAAACTGTCCAGAAGCACCAAAGCAGTCCCAGTCTCCATTGCTGTCCTACTCTATGGAATATGTGACTTACTACACAGTATAAATTATAACATTTATGGGTAACACTTTACATTAAGGGTAGCAAATTTATTGATAAGTATATGCTACTAAGTAATTCAATACTCAATATTTACATATTGATTAACTGGTCTTTAAGCAATAGTTACTGATTAAGTACTTAGTAATTAGTAATTGAGTATACTGTTAACTGATAGTTTAGTTTGTCCTTAGGTCACAGTTTAATTACTTGTTAATTAATTAAATGTGTACTAACTGCTGTTTATTAAATTGATAAAGAACTTATAAGCATGTTTACTCATAAATGAGAACTAACAAGTTCTTAATGTTAATCCTGTTAATTATCAGTTTATTAATCTACTGATTTATTGTAATTAATGTAACTAAATAATTGCCAATTTATTTCCTTCCCAGCAAAGTGATTATTCTTGTTACTAATTATACTACGAGCTCATGATTAAGACTAGACTAGTTAAGTTCTCCCTACTTGTTTTTGTGTCCTCTTAAGTGGAAAATAGACATACATTATCAATTAACTTTTAGTCTGTTAAGTCTTCCCTACTTGCACATCTCATTCATTGACAGGTTGTTTAAGGATCCAAGATTTGGTTTGGGATGGTATCACCCAAAAACAACCTTAAATTCTAAGATAATAAGATAATAGTGTGACAGATACTGCCAGTATGTGCATATTTTATCCCTATGCTTATGAAGGCAGCTGTACTTCTTTGAATAAGCAGCCGGTGTTTAGGCCTGACCAATATGTCAACTTAAGTTTCTGCTGTGATTCACAGTGAAGTGTATATAGGCTACCTTTTATCATGACTTTCTAGAAAAAAATAGTAAATTAGTAGTTGTCCTTTTACTTGGAGAGACACAAAAAACAGTAATTAATTGTTATGCAACATAAAGTAAAGAGTGATTATGGGTGAAAATGTAAAAACAGAGGACAGAGAGGCAGCTGAATATGTGGAGATGAAGGAAAGTGTCCACTAAAGACCAAGGATTAGTCTACACTGTGGAGAAAAATGTAATGATAGAAGAGTAGATTAATTAATAGATAAATAACAGGATTATCACATGAGTACTTGTTAGTTCTCATGTCACTTATTTATGAGTGAACACACATCAGTTCATTAACAGTAATAAGCAGCTGTTAGTACTCAGTTAATGAGTAACTAAGCTGTGAACCAATCAGTTAATAGTGTACTCAATTACTAATTACCAAGTACTTAATCAGTAACTAATGTCAATAATGAGTATTTAATTATATATTAGCATATAATTATCAATTAATTTGCAACCCTTAATTCAGTGCTACTCATTTATTTACTGCATAAACAGAATTTAAAGTGAAAATAATGAAACAATCAAATTCACCTCCCAGTGCAAACGCCCAGTGTTTTTGGTTAACCACCAAAACCATGTTATGACACTCAGACTAAAATGAGTAACCTGAGTAACTTTAAGAAAAATAATAACAAAATGACGAATTTTTCCCTGCTCCCCTACTCACGCAATAAGAGCATATCCAGCTGTCATACAAAAGAAAGTATAAGCTGAACAATTGTTTCACAAGGAATTTCAAGAAATTTCACAAAAAAGAACACTACCTATATGTATACCACTATGTGAGCTCACTATGATGGAAAGATTCAGAGCAGATTAAATTGTTAACCATGTACAGCTATCCTGAAATCCACATCCTATGAAAAGTCCCTCAACAGACAATAAGCCTCCACAAGGAACATAAATATTAAATTATTTTCTGTTAATTTTAGAGCACACTTTCTGTTCATTTGCTGATGTGGCATAATTTTTGCACAGGCCACATTTTATGATTTATTTTCCCACAATATATTAAATTCAAATAAACAGTAAAACTGTGCCTGAAAATGTTTCTTCTAGAAAATCAACAGAAACATGGACTTTGAACAGGGCGCTCGAACTTTTGTACACCACTGTATATTGAGATAGTGTATTCTATGCTTGTTGAAGCTGAGCAGTGGCTGTTTTGCTGAAGTGAGTTTCACCTGCATCACTTCTTACAATAATAAGTTCAATTATCATTAAAAAGCCCAGATGTGGCCCAATCTGTTATCAACAATGAGAATCATTCTTCTTGCTAGTGCCAGTGTTTTGGTTGAGAGCCTCTGTGTTCCTCAGATCACCAGAATCCCCTGTTGAATCCTTCACTGTAACAACACAACAAAGATTACAGCAGATACAACAGTGAATCAGGCCATGGGGATGTTATCTGAAAATGCAGCTGTCACTTACATTGTTACACTTATTCTGGTAGCAGAGCTATCTAAATTTGTGGTGCTGAATCATACTCACTACTAGGACGATCCTTATGCATACTCTGAAGTCTGTGTCTCATCATGTCTTCCTCCTCCGTCTCCTTTGGTTGTATTTTATGCTCACTCTTCTGCAGCACCTGTTTCTGCTTGTCCTCCAGTTCTGCAGGCATTTTTTCATGTCCTGCCAGGTGAGGGCGCTGTGGCCTGTGTCCTTTCAGAACAGGGCACAGCATGGCCTACAGATAATCTTCACAGGTCTCCTTTAGAAGACACACAAAATGTTGTGTGGATGTTATGCAATAAGCAGATTGTATCTTCATACGTTCACCTTGGATGTTCTTTCTGTGATCATTATATGCAAAATAAATGTCACAGTTTGAATGACATCCACAAGGTAGGTGAGAATCTGAGGGTCTTGAGATGTTTAGTTCTGCATTATCACTGTTGTTTTGCTCTTTTTTTCACATGTAAAGACAAAATAACATGTTTTGAATCCATAGTTACTGAATTACACTTACATTCAGTCTTGACAGGTTTGAATCTACATTTCCATTTGTGTTCATGTCTACTAATGACAAGCAAAAAATGTAAAGGATGTTCTTTCTTTCCATAAAACAACACACACAACAATAATGCAGTGTTTGACTGAAGCTCATGACTAAGAATTTTCCTCCTCTAAAAAGGAAAAATCTATGAAAACACACTGTCAGTAGTGAAAGAACTACCTTTCTGCTTGTAAATGATATTTGCTTTAGATCAGTCAACATACAAACACAGTAAGGTGGTGGGCAATGTAACAATATTTTATCGTTGTCATGATATTTAATTTAATAATGAAAATGTCACAATATGCTTTTCTGACCATGAATATCATCAATACTGACCAAATATGCTTCATTACAAAGGCCACATAATTAGGCTTGTTTAATTGAACATAATGCAGTGCAATTTGTAAAACACTGAATAAAAGTCATTGTAGGTTTAATGTTATTATAGTACTTTTTCATATGGGGCAGTACAGGTTCTATTTTGCCTCTTCCAACTCTTTTAAAATTTTGTGATGCATACCATGTATTGTGAAAATGTCTTGAACCATGATATTTTTGCCACATCGTCCACCCCCTAATGCTGACCATAACGTTCACTGTTTTGAGGAGGTAAATATGTCACTAACATTAGCCGGCTAGCTTGGTTTTTAACAATACTTGCTATCGTGATGGTGTCCATGTTTTCCCTCTTTGTAGCTCAAAGGCACGGAGTTGGAAAGTCACGCAATTACAAGCTCTGCCTTCCCAGTTCCAAGCCAAGTTGAATAAAGCGTGTTAAATCCAAACCATAATAAAATGTCACCTGTTCTACTTACAAACACAAATGTGATATGGATTGAAAGTTTAGAATCTGCACTTTCCGTTGAATTCTGCCATTTTCACAAGCTATGAGAAACAATTAATGAAGGCAAATCAAAACACTAATGCAGAAAAGGTAAAGGGGGGAGGCTGTAGGGAGAGCTAAATATTCATTTAGGAAATTTTCTTGTGGTGATGACCAGGAAAAAGCCAGGAATGGAATGCATGCATGGAGACACAACTTTATTTCATTATGTGTAATAATAGGTCTCTAGCTCTCCAGCCCAGCTTCCCTCTCTTTGATGAGGGTGAAGTCTTTACTCCTCCTAAAATTACCCAAATACGTTCAAAGAATCGTTAACCATGGACGTATGTGATTTTATGCCACTGCGTCTGGGGGATAGAAACTATTTTACAGCACCATATGGGCCTGCATCCTATCACTGGTTCTCATCTCTTTATGCCATAGATGAACATGCCAGAACATATTTGACTCCTTTTTTAATCGGTGAAATGCCCAGACATGTCTGAGCATATTTTTGAGGCAATAACTAACCCAGTCTTTCATGACTGGTTGTTTTAGATGTTCAAATCATGAGCTTCTCCTGCCCATTTCCCCTAATCTGTTTCCCCACCTCGTCCATTGTAAAAAAAAACCTAGGGTCTATAGTAAATTACAATGATTTAAAACAATTGTAAATTGGTCACTGTGTATTTAAGCAGAGGCCTGTTTCATAATGACTAAAAAGTTGAGTTTAAAAAGAACATAATCGAGTGCAAGAGGCCCAGATCATGTCTGGTTTTAGGCCCCTGGGCAAAAATGTTTGGCAGACCCTTAACTGGCTACCTATTTTTGGTAGTCAGGAAAACTGTATGATATCACATCAGGTTAAAGGGCAGTGCAGCACCACAAAAGCATTTTTGAGTGCTTGGACTAAAGGCTTGTGGCATCCAAAACTGAAAATCAGGCTATCTAAGGGTATCATTATCTCCCCCCACCCCCTTTTACATCCCTTGTGTGTTATGCGTGTCTACAATGCATAACAGATTAAAAATAAATTCTCTTTGAATTTAATTGGCCTTCTTGTATAAACTTGGTCCTAGAAAAAAGCCTCTTGAAGAAATATTTCCTTATCATAGTCTAATGTAAAGTTAAATTATTAGTGTTTTTTATCTCTATTTAAAGTGACATTTAAAATGTGGTAAACTATACTAGCCAGTAAATATAGAGGTTGAAATCCTTTTAAAACAGCATATATTATTCATCATGAAAATTGTTAATATTGTTGTTATTGTTTCATTCATTTTGTCCAGAAGGAACTATGGCCAACCTTGATTGCACAAAGATATTAGCAAGTTGTCAGACAATAAATTTTCCAAACGTGCCATGTTCTGCTATGGCATGATCATCCTACATACAGTAGTACAAAACTACAAAGCCCCAGAGGGGACAATGGGTAAAAATAAGAATTATTTTGAGGGAACATTTAGCAATTTATGCATGTTTTCTTTTATTCATGGCAACGATTTCTTAATTTGTTCCAACAATTAACAATTCATTGTCTAGTTTTCTTTTAATTGTGTGCATATTTTCTTTTATTTGTGGGTACATTTTTATAATTAATTCTCATTTTATTTTAATCATACACATAAACATTAATCATACACATTTCTTTTTTAATGTTGTGGTCATTTTCTTTTATTCATGTGCAAACAAAATAAATGTATATAGATAGAGGCTGTTTTATTTGTCCTGTGCACAAGTAGGCTAACATTTCCCTGAAACTCTGACAGGTTTTGATGTGTTTAGATTTATGCGATAATGGACAGAGGTGTGCTCATTATGTTTGATTTTGATTTGAGTGCTTTATGAGGACTTAACTACATATAATGAAAACTGTGGATATAACATCATGAAAATGCCTAAAATTAATAATGTAGCCCATGAATGTTTCTGTGTGTGTTTAACTTGAGTATGTTTGAGTTGTTAACGGTGAACATTTCTTCTGGTAATTAATGATGGCCCCTAGCACTGCAGCTGGACTTGTGAGCAAAACCAGTAATAAATGGCTGCATTGTGGCTTCATCTCTGTTAAATATAATAATTAGAAAATGCAGTTCATTAAAAGTTGTGGTTTTAGTTTATTGTTTATTGTTTCACCAGGAAACTGTAACTGCACTGATGAATCTACATGCTGTTTGCTGGTTAATGAAGCCCTGCTGTGAAGAGAAGCTACAATGTCTTCATAACCGACCCACATCTCTGCCCATTATCACATAAATTTAAACACATCAATACCTGTCAGAGAGCTTCAGGGGACTGTTAGCCTACCTGATCTGACTTGTGCACAAGACCAATAAAATAACCCACAATATTTTGTCTGATATGAAAAAAAGAAAATGTGTGCACAATTAAAAAGAAAATGTGCATGATTGAAAGAAAATAAGAGTTTAAATTAATTGTTGGAAAGAATTAAGAAATCATGGCCATGAATAAAAGAAAACATGCGTACAAATTGCAAATCATTCCCTCAAATTAACTTTTATTTTTACCCCTGTTCCCTTCAGGGCTCTGTACCAAACAAAACAGCAGAATTAACATAAATCCAATCAGTAGTGTAACCCTTCTCTATAAAGCATGCATGCGCTTGTGACAAGCACAACATTTACCCCAATGAAGACGATAAAAAAAATAAACTGACAGCTGTAACTACAGAGTCAAAGAAAACACCATCATAAACATAAAAACCGAGGCTGTTCAGCATCCTAAGATAAAGTATACTCCTTTGGCGGGCATGAAAAACGAACCATTTGTATCTTACCTTTATGCACAGAAGCAGACAGTTACATAGTTCACTTCAATCAACAACGCAGCAACTTTTAACTCATTCTGACTATTTGTATTTGTACTTGGCTTTGGAAACTGGCATGCTCTTCTTACAGGTCCCTAGGTTGCTTGACCAAACTAATAGCTGATTTGCTAAACAGTGACTGAAGGAGAAAATGAAGCAAAGGTTCAGGAACGATATGGAAACTATTGCAGTGTTAATTGTTGGTAAACAATGACATTAGTAAAATTGGTTTCACTTTTTCCGCAAGTAAAGTGAACATTTTCTGATGTAAAGGCGGCGGAAGGGCATAAGGGTCTTTAAATAAAGTTCTTGATACGAGTTAAAGCAGCACCATGGGCTGGCAAGGGGTCTTTACAGTCCTAAGGAACACGGTGTAAATTATTAAAAATGTTGCTTTATTAGCCACACTCTGGAAATGATTTACTTATTATTATACATACACCCATACAGAACTAAACTAACTCCATCTCCCAACCTTTTTTCTGAGTGAACGACTGCCCACCTGTCCGGCCAGACACTGATGGACGATTGTCTGTCAAGCTCTCCTGCTACCCGCTTCAGACCAGTTGCCCACGCCCCAGTCACCGCCACCTGCCTTGGACTAGCTGCCCACCCGACACTAAAGTGTACTCCGAACTATTATTACTACTACTACTATTAATATTAGTAGTATAATAATTTTGTAGGTAGTTTGACCAGATGAGGATGGGTCCCCCCTTGTGAGCCTTGGTTCCTCCCAATGTTTCTTCCCCAGCTCTGAGGGAGTTTTTCCTTGCCACTGTTGCCACTGGCTTGCTCACCTGGAGGATTTACATTTCATGTCAAAACTTTGTCCTTAATGGATTTCTGTGAAGCTGCTTTGTGACAACATCTGTTGTAAAAAGCGCTATACAAATAAATTTGACTTGACTTGAATTTGATTTGAATCTAACAAAATTCGCATGAAAAAAGAAACTTGCTGAGCCTGCATGACAACTTCTAGCTCTCAAAGAAAAGAGCTTTGTGGTTTCTACAATATTTATATTCGTTACCATTCATTCCATACCACAAAAGAAACTAAAGGATTTTGACATTGTTTCAGTAAAACAACCAAAAGATACTGTTGCATTTGCATGAATGCCTTTACAAAGGCAAACTCTGTTGCTGTTGTTAGTCATCAATACCATAAAATAAACTCAGAGTTAGCGACTCAGAATCATCCCCTGGAGAGAAATATTATAAAAACTCTTAAAGCAACTTGATCAGATAAGTGATATGTGACACACAGATGCAAATCAGAGTACATTTAGAGGGAGAGTTTTGTAAATGTAGGCATGCATATTCTGATAGATAGATGTCAGATTAAAACTCTCAGCATGGTAATCACTGGGCTGATGGACATGCCAAGTCACCAACTATGCTTCAAATGACAGACACAAACAAGCAAACAAACAAAAAAAGGAAAAAGGAAAAAGAAGTATAAAGAATACCTCTCGATGATCTGAAGGTTGCTGTGAGCTGTGGGACTAAAATGGAGACCGAGGGGCGGTTTCACTTCCTCAGGATTTCAGGATAACTTACACCAGCCGTTTTTTTTCCCTCCAGATATTAAAGAAGCACAATTGCTTCTACTGTTAACACAACAGAGGTTCCTGACAGAGAAGCTAATATATCAGTCCTGTTGTCAGGGTTCACTTACTGTTCATGCTTGTCTTAGAACATTGAAAGAGAATTGCAGGAATACAAGTGCAACTCTAAGGATAAGAAAAGATCCAATGGAAACCAGGAAATGATTCAATTACTGTGGAGCTTGGAATGTCTGAAGGGCTTGCAAGGTTTTAAAGACACATTACACTTTTTTCCATTGCTCAGTAAGAATACTCAGCACATTCCCATCTGATACCATGACGTGTATGAATCACTGCGCTGAATGGTGTCTGATAATACATCATTACATTACAGTACAAATGACAGTCAGTAAGTATGCACATAAAACAGCTCCAGCTTCAGGGGTCCAGAAAGGAGCATCTTATTATATTTGTATTGGTCTGAACTGTATGGTTGCATCACTTAAGGTGAAAAAAAATATTTTACCTCCTAAGCAACATGTCTGCCTCCTTCACATCCTTGCAGTGTGTTTTGGAGCAAATATAGCAATCTTGCAAGGATGTATTTTAGCTGTGATATTTTGTACCTCATTCCTAATATGTTAAGAGATAAAACATATACATGCACAGATTTGAGACAATCTTTAAAAGTGCGACTATAGGCCTTAATTCTTCTCTTTCTCTTTATTTTTCTATTTCTCCATCATAACTGCATTTTTTACAATCACTCTGAAGCTTTTTTTAGTACTAAGTTGCAAGCTTTTGCAAGCATTTATAATTTGATCTAACAAAATGCACAGTAAATTGCAATGTATTCAGGCTGAGACTGAGCGAGTAATGGAAAGAATTTGGAAATTGTGTTCACTGGGGCATAGGCAAGGGGTGGCCAGTGTCGTCCTCCTGTGAAGAGTGTCCTTAGGCCACCCCAGTTAAACGAAGAGAGATAGTCATCTACTATCAATGAAGCAGTCATCACTAAAATGTTCTGCTATATTACGTGAAGCGTTTTACAGTTCAGTGACTGCTGCTCAAGACCATAATGTTAGTCTCGCTCATTTTGCTTAAGGAAACAGCTGACAGTAGCTTTGTACATTTGGAAAAGCACCTGAATAACTCTGTACATCTGGTATATTACAATATTTTTGTCATACACTGTGCTCTATGTCCTGGCGGCCTATTGCTCTGCTTTAGTATTTTCCCTGCTCCCAATACACCTGATCCAACTAATCAGCTCATTGACAACCCTTTACTGAGCTGAAGCGGGCATATTAAAGGAAGGAAAGCACTAAAATGTGCAGGACAGTGGGCCTCCAGGACCAGGGTCGAGAAACACTGCTCTATGTGAATTACTGTAACATTACTGTAACTGGAGATTTAAACAGTTGTCAGCAGAGAGTAGAAATAATACAACACAAAGTTTTTACATAATCTAATGGAAAACGGGAAAAATCACCTTATTTTTCCAGCGTGAAATGATATTTACAAATGTGATTAACTGGTTAATAATGCTATTATTTTTTTAAACTATATATGGAATTATGACCATACTAATCACTTTTACCCAGTACACTTCAGCAGTGCTGCTTTGTGGGCTACATTAAGTGAAATCAGCAATACAATGGTAAGATGAGGTAACTATCAAGAAAAGTAATTACTAACATTTACTATTGGATAGTATTGTCTATCACTTATGATGTAAGCTAAATACATTTTAGAGCTGAGTACATGAGTGTTAAATAATACAGGCTAGATTTCATTAGAGGCGAATCTAGTGTGAAATCTCAAGTAAACAAAACAACTTTTAAAGTTTACTTTCCAGCTTTTTAGAATCACAAATTTACAAATTTTGAACTTTTGAAGGATTTATTTTTTTTTAATGATGTATCTAATTTGTTCTTCAGTATTTAGTGCACAAATGATGGTCATGAACAACTGTTCATCATGAATAGTCACTAGCTATGTGGAAGCACTGCCGGTTCACAGAAATATCTACAGTTCTGTAATGAAATAAGTGAATACATAAATAAAATAAATGCTACTATGCATGTCATAATATGCTTTTCTGCTTTTCTATATAGGGTTCTATATAGCATCAAAAAGGGTTCTTCTATTGATACAAGCTTGACATCATAACAAAAGTAGGACACTTTTAGGTGCTATATAGAACCATTGTCAAAAAGGTTCTATATAGACCCATACACAGCATTCTCCATCAATCTGACTAATCACTAATAAAAATACAATTGACTATATAATGAATTGTAGACAGTCAACAGTATCAGGAATCAGTCCAGTTTATTTATACAGTTGCAAAGACACATTATAATATATATAGCAGCACTGTTCATAGCAGCTCAGTACCTCTTCACTGAAAAATAGATATTACAACAGAAAAATATAAAGCACAGCAGTATTTGTGTAGCAGCTCAGTAACTTGTACTGCACCATTGATTTCATCCACTGAAAGCACATCCAGCTGCACCTTAACGGAGCGAATGGCAAAAATGTGTGCTGACCTCAGGCTCAGTAATAATGGTCAGCTGACTGTGCTGCTCAGTGGCAGTTTAAGTTGAATTAAATGAATTTTCAAGTGAAATGTATAAAATGTACAGTACCAGACAATAGTTTGGATACACCAAATAGAATGTACAATTTTCGTAATCTTCAAAGAGAAGATTTAGATCTAAAAGCTTAGGTATAAGTGTTTGAAATTTGTTGCTTTAAAAAAATGAAAAGAAAAAAAAAATAACAGTGTATCCTGTTCCCCTACCCACCCAGTACAACAATATCAAACTCTACAAAAATAGACAGATTAATCTGTGAAACAACAATGCATTTACAGTATGACGATAATTGATAAAGTCTTCAGTTTCTCATACAACAACTACTGCCAATAGTTTTGGAAAACCAGGCCCAGAACAATCACTGTGTGACTTCAATTTCACAGTGGGGCTCACAATTGCTAGTCATGTACAACTATCCTGAAAGCAACAAGCTCATATTGGATCCACTGATTTTAGTTTAGCACACTGTTGTTTAGGCATATGAATACTGCCAATGACCACCAAATAAAAACTATTTTAGTGTGTATAATTGTTATCAATATAGCTACTCCCATAGTTTATCAGAAAAGAGGTAGAGTGTGGCTAAAAAGGGCATGGATGGGGGTGGGGGTGGGGGTTGGGAATGGGGATGATGTTGATGCCTGACAGAAACAAAAGCAATGCACTGAAATGCTGTTAGAGGCCTCTAGCTTATTTATCTTGGAGAGTTGCTGAAAGCACCAAGCTCTTTTTGTTTTAACATATAACATATTTTAGAAAAGCATTTTTTAGAAAAGAAGTTTTGTTTTCTTGTTGTTTTGCTGACTGCATTTCAATACCAATCAGTAAGACATTCTGGTGTCTGAATCAATTATGATATTATCCTTGGTTGAGATCCTCTGTGTTCTTCAAATCAACAGAAGCCTTGTCTTCATTCACTGTAAAAAAAATAATAATAATTATAAATAAATAAAAAAAATAATAATAGAAAGGATCAAACAGGCCACATCAATATACAGCATCTAAATTTAAAAGAATAGTTTGGCAAAAAAACTAATTTACACAACTTTTCCCATTCCCCCAAATGTAGTCAATCTGAAGCTTCTTTGGTTTTGCACTGGAGCTACAAGGCTAATGTAGCTAACAAGCAATGGAACTCGATTTATTTGTGCAGTCTGCATGATACTGATTGATGGAGTATAAGCTTGTATTATTTGTCAGCCACATCAGTCTTGTAGCTCCAGTATAGGGTCATCCCTATGCTCTCAGGGTCATGTGTTCTATAGACCATTCATTTTCTCACTGGAATTTCTAGGCAACATCTCTTTGCTTCTTGGACCCTATGTTCCCTGGCCTGATATACCCTGTTTGTAATATTGGAAACAGCCCTGTATTTCCAGGGTCCATGTTCCCTTATTGGAATTTTCTTGGGCAATATCTCTATGTTTCCATGTTACCTCAATCATATTTTCTCAACATTCCCGTATTACAACACATTCTGACTAAACATTTCAGTGAACGAGAACAGAAATCAATTCAGTGATACGTAGCATTTAAACGGTTTTAGTCATACATTTTGAACATCACAATATTGATGTTAAAATAGTGTTGTTCAGCATTGTAAAACATTAGCAAAGTCAGCATTTGTGCGCATAGTGGAATCTTTGAGCACATCCTCAGCAACATCTACTTTTTGTGTCAACGCTGTCAACACTATTTTTAACTTGACCTTATCGATTTTCCCTCAACATTTCCCCTACACCATCTCAAATTTGTTACTTTATTCTGTTAATATGCTAGTTAGCAAGCTATGGGCTACACAACTAGCAACCATAAAAAAGACAAAGCAATTTGTCTTACGTGCGCCACATTTAAGACAAAGCAATAATTCAAAACACTTATCTATTCTACACTCTCATTTTTCAAAAAATGGACTGAATTGCAAAGTTTGCTTAGCTAGTTAATTAGCACACTAATCCAAAATGCATTTCTATTGAAAAAAAATGTGTTCCTCTTTTTTTCCCTGTATGACCTTTGATGAACCACAAGCATGGAAACTCTTTCATAGGTTCCCTTAATGTAACACTTTGAAATATGATAGCTAAACGTGTGGCCCTGGGAACATAGGCACACTCCCCTCCAATACAAAACTAAAGAAGCAAACTTCAGACATGACCAAACGTCTTGGCTGATCAACTACTTTTGAGGTAAGTGTAAAATTGACTTCTCCCTGAAATATTTCATTAATAATTTGAGGTTAAATTCCCAAGACTGGCTTCAAAGCTTCTTTGCCTGAAAATCTGGTTATCAACAACTATACTTGTACACAAGTCAGCTCCATTTGTGTTGTGAATTATACTCACTGTTAGGGCGATTCCAAGTGAGACTTCTGAGTCTCGGCCTTAACACGACTTCTTCCTCTGGTTGTATTTTGTGCTCACTTTTCTGTAGCACTTGTTTCTGTTGATCCTCCACTTCTGTGGCCACTTTTTCACGTTCTGTTGGGTGTTCCTTTAGAGAGCACTGTATCACATGTCCATTCAGATTGGGGTGTGGCATGGCCTACTGATAATCCTCCCTGTCTCTGTACCCCTGTGTGTTATAGAACATACACAGCACATCAGGAAATAATACTCCAAAAACCATCCAAAGTATCAAAGTTGACCTGATCAGAAAAGTGAATTCACATCTGTTTTTGACCTTATTTGCAAATCAGTCATTTAGTTTTGTTTAAAAATAGACAAAAGTACATTGCTAAACACAGTAGTAACAGCTATCCTGAAATACGAATTTTGTCCATACTTGTGTCCATTTTTATAAGTTACAGAATGACATTAAGTGTCAGATACCATGTAAGCATGTATATATAGCCCTCTATTGCACAGTGTTGCCTCAAGGTAACAAACTCATTTTCTTCACTGTATAGTGATGCATAGTTAATGTTGCAATTCTAACTGCATCAAAAATTACTTGATTCTTTTTATGCATCAGCATAGTTATTTCTGGTTTAAATTATTGTTTGCTTTACAAGAAATCAATACATTCCTTCACAAAGCTGCATAATTTTTTTATTTTTTTAATAAAATGTTTTTTTTAGTATTTTTAATATATTTTAAGATCAACAAATTGTTAACTTTGTTTAGTGTCATTCCAAATATTTATATTTAAAAATCCTGTTTTTTCATGACACTCTGTCATTTTTTTCCATTGTTGCACAACGTTGCCTCAAGGCAACATAATACAAAAAGACCCTGCACACACATGCAAGTAAAGAGAATCAAAATTTTTTTTAGCATCAGTCAAATAATTTGTGCAATAGAGAGTTATGATTACTTTAGAGCTCGATTTAGGCATGCAGTTTGCATGGTGCTTGCATTACTACCAAAGGAATTTGCCAAAGGAATTAGCCTTGAAACTCCGGTGACACCAAACATCATGGCTGAACAACTACATTTGAGGTTAGAGAAAAATTGTGTGAATTTGACTTTTGCTGAACTATTTCTTTCGGTGTGGTCAAATGTATTATGTAAGATCACAGCTGCAGGGTTGAAAACTTTTTCAGTTCCTAGAAATAAAACCAGCAACTATTGCATTTTTATCCAAAGGAACCCAATTAGAAAGGTGATCTCACATCTGTAATTTTTTACTTCATTTAAAGTTTAAACTTCTTTTAAAATGTAGGAGAGCATATTATCAGATTTCCTGCAAGCTGTCAAACAAAACTCTGACCACGTATTTTCTACTGCTGCACTGCATGACAAATCTCTGAGACTGAGGGAAATGCAAACTATGTTTAAAATTACACAAACTTTTTCCTTTTTTTAGTATATTATGATATGCATGGTGACAATCGATCTTTGGTGCATTTAAAAAAAAAAATACCTTACAAAATGATCAAAAAATGTCTCCACTACTCACTTGCTTGGTGGTGCTCCGTTGCAGGATGGTGTTGTGGTTTCGCGTTCTTCCGTTGTACCTACATTATTTTCCCTCCAGGTCCTAAAGAGTCACAGTTAACATAACACAAGATCCTTACAACAAAACAAATAATGTATAAGTCTAGTTTTTTTTGTTTTTTTTTTGCATTAACTTGCAGTTTTTGCGTTTTATCACTTTGTAGTAATTGTATTGAAGGCAAGACCTGCCAAAAGGGTCATAAGAGATTCAGTGGACAGAGTACCAAGCAGCGATTGCTGTAGAACCACTCTAACTACAAGAATGTCTGAATAGTCTGCGGCATATCACTGTTGTCGGAAGAAAACCTTGCATCTCCAAAATGGTAACTTTACAGGAGAAGGAAAAAACCTACTTTACTTTTAATGTAAGTCAACGGAACCAGACTTTTTTCTTGTGGTCCATTCATTATGAAGTTTACACACATTGTAAAGAGCAACAGGGTTTTTCAAATTATGTCAAAAACTGAAAAACAACAAAAATAGAGATACAAGGTTTTCTTCCAACAGCAGTGATATGAAGGTATATTGCTGCTGTTTTCCTTTCATTACTCATCAAGAACAATCATCACACTCCAGTCAGACTCCATTCATGCCATGTTTATTTCACTGCAAGGGGTTAAAAAAAACAATATTCTATTGCCTCGAATTGCATAGAGTTATTATGCTGGTTGCATAATCTCAAATACACTTACTTATGTGGTTTCCAACCTACTGTTTTCTAAACACATTGAAAAAAATTATTTTGCATAGCTAAAAACAGTAGTTTAAGCAGTCTTGAAGTCAAAATTCTGCCCAGTTTTGTTCATGTTTACAGACAACACTTCATATAGTGCCAGAAACAACATAGACTATGTCTACTTTAAATTACTGAACAACTCAATACATTTTGAGGCAAATATGTGATGACATGCTGTTCGCACAGCGCTAATTGGTGGCTCTGTTATAATCACTGCTGATTCTGGGATTTTTTTGTAGGTGGGGCAGTAATGGGGCCTTCAATTTCTAAGAGCTCCATAATTACTCACAACATCTCTGTAATATATTTGTATCTATTATTCACATTATACATATATATTATTATTATTATTATAGTATGTTTTACATTTGGCAGTAGACATGGTAAAATTTAATCGTGAGGCTAATGTTTATATTTTATATAAAGTTTTGAAATATTTGTTTAAAATAACCTATTGCATACCATCATACTAAAGTCAGTGTGTACAAAATTTCTTAATCTCCTTTTAAGATCCCTCCTCAACAGTTATTATAAACAAAGATCATTCTAAAACCACACTGTTATTAGTGTTCTAAAGGCCTATACTGGTGCCATAAGGTGTGAAGTGCTTGGACCCCTATGATTGCCACTCGGCATGTAATTTGCAGACGAACACTTAGCTCTCATAGGGGGTACAGTCTACAGAAACCAACATGTTCTACATGAATCAGATAAAAAGGAAGTGGTACCTGACTGTCTTCGTTGTAAACAATGTCAGCGTACGCGTACTGGCCTTTTTGCACCCATCATTCTGAAGCTATTGAAGACAGATGTCATATTTGTGAAAATGAAACCAACTGCTCAAGGTTTCATTTAGTTATACCATTAAAGCACCGATTTTTAGTAACTTCAGCTGAGTTAAAATTATCCAGAGGCACTCCTGAAATGCACAATTCACGTGAGTAGCATATCCATTATTTAAATCCAGGAATTTCACTGAAGGCCAACTAGTTTGTCAATAACGTGACTAAAAGTGGCAAGTGTCTGCTGGATGGGTCCTTAAGAGGCCAATCAAATTTCTTTGGGGCCAGCGCTCCTGTGGCCCCGCCCATAGATCGACCCTTGGTTATAATCATTTGTTGCTTTTTAGCTACATTAGCCTCATAGCTCCAGTGCAAAACAAAGGAAGCAAACTTCATGCATCAGCCATGCATATAGATTGAGGGTAAAATTGTGTAAATTTGACTTATACGGTTCCTTTAAGAACTTGAAATCAAATTTCTTGCTGCAAGATTAAGGTTACATAAATACTTATTAAACCATTTATGTGATTCATAGCTACATTATCTGAAAACATTATCAACAATAAAAGAGCTGTAAGGGCCAGCTATGTTTCTGTTTTTCATTATACCCACGTTTAGGACAATGCCCATGATTACTACCACCTTTACTCCTCAGGACCTCTTTCTTTTCTGTCTCCTCTGCTTGCATTTTATGCTCTCTTTACTGAAGCGCCTGTTTCTGCTGCTCATCTGGAATTTTTTATGTCCATCTGGGTTGTGTTATAGAGGGCATTCTGGCATGGCATCATTTTGTCTAGAGTACGCCACTTTTCCCACATCTCCAGCAGGACACTTTTCCACAATAGTAGAAAAGTTTCTCGTAAAATGTCACTCTACGTTTGATTTTTTTACAAGGTTGAAGTCAGCTTTTCATTCGCCAGCTTCTTGTTTGAAATTTTCCCATTCCACCTTAAATGGTGCAGCAGTTACATTCTGTTACCTCAGGTACAATTAAATTTGAACGATAAGCTCACTTTAACTTTGTGACCTTTTAGCGATTGACAGTTTCTCGTCGCAGATTAAACGTATTAGGAAACCAACTGGAGTGCTTAAAATGCAAATTCGTCTTACATTTTTCTCTTTGCCTTTTCGTTAGCTGCTAGCTAGGCTAGATTGTCTGTGTTGCTATGGTGACCAGCTGTCGGCGCACCTTCAGGGTTAAAGGGTGAATTGGCGGTTCTACATTCAGTCCAGCGTTTAAGACCATTTATTGTTAAAACTGTGTTAGAATGATCAGCTGAACTTTATTTTACTGCAAAGGAGGGTTATTTTATTTTTACATAAAAAAATCTAATTCTGCTGTGGAGCCACAACAGGGCAGTAAAATAGCTGCATGTGCTTTCCTATTTCCTGTACACCTCTTATACAGGCTTCCAGTACGCCTATTCAGTCTGGGTTGTTTGTTTGCAAGTAAAGCAAGTGTTTTCCTAGTAATTGTGTATACAGACCCTGATTGGGGTTTGTCCTCATGTTACACTAAATGCACGAGTAACAGTGGTGCTACAAAAGTGAGTGACAGTAAATGTATATCTTGAAATTCTGACTTTTGGTATGGTTTTAAAAGAATTTCAGCCTAGAACTGTTGATGAGGATGTGCCTGCTCTTGCTGTACGAATGGTGGTGAAGTGTATCTGAATGCTTTGTAATATTCATTTTAAATTTCCCACTGATATTTTCTTTATTTGAAGGTTGAGCACAAGCGTTTTGCATGACAGTCAAACAAAACATGTCAAGACAACGACTGCATCTGGAACAGGCAAGAGGAGAATGTAAACACTAGGTTATTCAAGAAACATGAGAAACTTTCAAATTGAACATCAGTTCCAGAAACACTTATTAGAGTTTCAGAGATCAATATTATTCAAATCTGAGTAGACTGACCTGAAGGATGTTTACAGATGCCATCATCATTATCATGAATGTGCATGACAAAAAGTAAAAACATTTTCATTTGAAGTGATGAAATTATGAAAACATAATTCAAAGTCTGTCTAGTGTGCAAACCTACATTTTCAATGGAAAAATGTGAAAAAGATGTTTTTTCAAGGGTTCTTTAGTACAGAAAATAGTTCTATACAGAACCATGAAAACAAAGATCCTTTCGCATGATTACATGATTTATTGCTTGGTGAGATGGTTCTTCAGATTACAGATTTACAAATGTAAACAAAAACACATTCAGTAAACAAATAATTAAAAAACTTTATTTTTTTACTTTTAGAAATTCATAGCATTTGTTATATATAAAGAAAATTCTAAAGAGCCAGTATCTATTATATTTAATTTGCATACAATGTTTGTCTACAGAGAATGCATGGTTTATTTTACGCACCGTGCATTCTCCAGAAGAGTTCAAGTCAGTTTATCACATTTATGCCCTGCTAAAATGGCCCCAGTCTACTGTAAGTGCTGCTATTGTGAAGTGGAAATGGGAGCAATGACATCTCAGCCACGAAGTGGTAGACCATGCAGTCACAGAACAGGACCATCGAGTGCTGAAGTGGGGAAAAATTGTCTTTATTTGTTTCCAACACTCACTACCAAGTTCTAAACTGCCTCAGGAAGTGATGTCAGCACAAGAACTGTTCATCAAGAACTTCAAGAATCAGGTTTCCATGGCAACCACAACCTTACAGGGGCAATAAGTCTAATATTAGAGGCAAGGCAAGTGGTGCTTCAGGGGGTCAGAAAAGTTTAAAGAGGGTGCTATGCCTATGACAGCTGCAGTTGCCAATTTTTCCGAAGAGAAGAGAATTAGGCAGATAGGCATCCAGTCAGACATAATCAGAACATCATTTGCTACATCCATAGTAACACTGAAATCAGTGTTAAAAGTATTCAATATGAACTTTCAGTGTTCAGTTGCATGTCAAGTAAGATATTTTGGTTGAAAAAATTGCATTTGAACAAATTGGCATTTGTTGAAAATGATATACTAGGTTACACACATATTTTCCAGAAAGTTGAAATTATTAATGAACCACTGACCTAATGACATGTATTATGAAAATAATTAAGTATGAATATGAATATGAATAGTTGCATCAGGTGTATTGGGAGCAGGAGGGATTTTAAATTGTGCAGGGCAGTGGAACTCCAGGACCAGTGTCAAGAACCATTATTCTAGAGAACTGTGTGGCAACAGTTAAGGGAAGGCCCTTTCCTGTTTCTGCATGACAACGTCCCATGCAGAAAGCATGACCCATACATCAGTACTTAATGCTCTTATAGCTGAATGGAAGCAAATTCCTTCAACTATCTTCCAAACTTTTGGAAAAAGCCTTCCTAGAAAAGAGGAGGCTCTAAAAGATGATTTATAATAAATGACACATACAGATAATATACAAAAAATAATACCCAAACCAGTACAATACAATGACAACAAACTATAATTAAATGATAACACTACATACAAAAAAACAAGACAAACCAAAAAAGAAAATCTTTGC